AAATGAAGAAGAGTTTTGTTGACATGCGATAATTCCGTCATCATTTCAATTTAATTGAATAATGTCAATGGTGATTAAAAAAATCGAGTTTCGATTACTAATTTTTGAATGTTCTCGTCTGGAACTGTTACATCAAATTGTTTTCTATTCGATATTTGATATTCAAGGAAATCTAATACGAAATTTTCTAAATAACCACACAGGGATATTTAGCAACGCATGATTAGCGTTTTGATCAATATATGAAAAGTGTGAGTAAAACCATAAAGAGCAACATTTTTAAAAATGTGCTTTGAAATGTATTCGAGTAAACCTAAAGATAGCTAATAAGCTAAAAAGCGAAAGCAATCATCAAAACGTCCCTGCTGATCGAACTACATCATGTGTTTCGTCTTTACATAACGACAATTTATTCTTCGGCTGTATTGTATGACGATTAGGCAAAATATATTGCAGCAGAATGGATAGAAAAAGTAACTAACAAAATAACAAGCGTGCACGATAGATATAATGATCAGCAGTCAAGCATGAAGGTATATTTTGTCTGCATTGAATCTATTTTTTTCACGTGCTATGGCTATTGATTGATTTTGCTCGTAAACCCACACTGCACATCCAAATATTTATCTTGACGTAGGCACTATCTACACTAATGCTTGATTACTGCTGCTGGGTTTGGTTTTTTTCTGTGATTTTCTTCATATTATAGATATTTTAAGTAGAAGAAAAAAGTAGTGCTCTAGAACAATGTTTTTATGAGTCAATAGTAAGTAGTGTAATAATACTTTCAACACGTAGTACCACTCTGCTTTGCACTTTCATTCAACATCTAATAGTTTTCTTCAATAATGTAAGTAGTGCAAACTATCTATAGGTTTTTTTTTGCTGTCTTATAACATCGTTCTCTTTACTAATTGAAATGATATAAAGTGTGTCAATAATATTTTTTCATTAAATTCTTCTTTTTTTGATTAAGTAGATTATGCTATATACTCACGGTACAATAGTGTCTTTCTTCAATCTTTTCGTATAGATAAATGCATTCAATTTTTAGTAAATTTGGTAGTCAGTTTTGTATTTTTGTTTCTCGATATACGTGAACGCAAGATAACTAAATAAAAGTCAGTAGTATGATGATGTGGGAAAACGACAAACAGAACGAATAACCTTTGCTGGGTCTTGAGCACTTTATTTAAAAAAATTGTTTAACAAAATTAGTATTATTGTTTTATTGTTTGTTTTGTGGAAAAAAAATATTCGATCATATCATTTGTGCAGATTAAATGTTTGAGGAGACAGGTCAAAACAGTTGATCAGTTGAAATAAATATCTCATGAAAAGTTTGAATGGTTTCAATTTCATTCGTCTTTACCTCCAGATACAGTTGGAATTATGTCATCGTTACCTCCGTCTAATGAAGTGATGGAATCCATTTCCAATAAACATACTGAAAGACTATCTTCGAATGAATTCAAGTTTTTATTTGATCAGTATGCAGAACTGTTTTCTCCAAATACAAGTGCTGAAATTATCCAGTCACTGGCACAAATCCAGTCGTTACAGTCTGACGATGGATTCTCACATCTGACACATCGTATTATTTCACTAGTTTACAAACGATTAGTTGAACTTACTGAAAAATTTGTTTTAACTGGTGGTACTTTGTCTAACGATGAATTTATTTTAATGGAAAACTGTCTTAAATTTATCTCTAATGTATTGAAATCAGTGTTCAACGAGGATTTGGACAATGAGAGCAATGAGCATCATAGTGATGATGCTAATAATGAAGATGATGATCCAAGATTGATGATACGAGAAACTTTGTATCGGGAAATAATTCCATTAAATGAGTCATTCTTGAAATTTATGCAATATGACAGTTGGCAATTCATGGAAAATTACCAACATATTTTGGGAAAACTCATCGAGCTTTTAATTCAACGTGGTAACATGATGGCTTCACAATTGTACTTTATGAAAAAAGATGAATTATCAAATCTAGAATATGACGAAGATAATCAGCTACTTTTTGATGCAGTTGTTAACTATGTGACTTCATCACATTGTGTTAATGGTTATGTAGCAGCAGTGAAACGACTTAACAGTACATCAACAAGTGACTATGATAGACTTTTATTATTTGATATTTTTAATTTTATTATTGATAATATTCTTTACACGGAAGAGTTTCGAAAGGAGTTTTGCACCCATTTTTGGTTACCAAAATATGAAAACTTGTTGAAAGAATTATTACCGACAACAGAAGTAATAGGAAAAGACCATGATATTCATTTTAGACCAAATGTAATTAAATATTTGATTACTAATCTCGTGAATATGCAACTTACAACAGAAAGTGCATTCAGGCCACTGCAAAGACCAGTACACAACTTTGAATTGAAAGATGAATATTTGCCAATAATTAAAATGGTACTACCTTGGTTTTCTGACTCATATATTTTGGAAGGTCTCATAAAAAATGATAGTGATAATGATTATGGTACAATACCATTTCGATGGGATGATAACTACTATGAAAATACGACTGAAACTTTGACAATTACATTCGTTACGTGGACAATATTACAGTTAATTCTAATGTTCATTAATACCGATGGAGATTGTCTTGCGGAAGTAAAACATAATACTGAAATGAAAAAAATATTATTGCAATTAATGAATCAAATAAAAAATGATAATCCAATTAAATTATGTATTTACAACGTTTTGGCATTATTACTAGATGAAAAAGATATTAAAAATGAAGTAAGCTTTACGAAAGAAATAATTTCAACATTAATAACTTCCATACGTATTGTTAATCAAGAGGCAGCAATTGGTGAAATACAAGGTCTCTTACGTTTAAGAGATTTGATAACATTGTTGACAACACTCAAAGGTAAGTTTCGAACAAGCTCTATCAAGTAGGGTATTGGTGACTGAATCAATATTTGAACTTAGATATTAGTATTAATTGTTACATAAGACTAAGCACGCAGTAGACTTTTCAAATGGCTAAACCTTTTTTCGTGCCAGTTCGTATTATTCTCGCTCGATCGTAATCGATCATTCTCATTGAGTTTCAAGACTTTCGATTTTACAGAAATCATACAGTAAATCAAATAGTATTATCAGTTCGGACGGCTGGGTCACTCGACCTAGAAAGTCGAAGATACTCTATTTGATTCTATCGAATTCCTGAAAATTCGATCACTTCTTCGACTTTCAGGTTTGTGACTTTCAGAATTTGATCAATGCATAATCTGATTTCGATAGTTTGTAGTGGTCGGAGTCCTGAACAAAAGAAGGTCCTTAATTCTTTTGAATCCAATGTAGTCGAACCGATTCTGAGGATCTTTTCGATGAATTTCATCAGTCATTTACTCTTCCGAGATCTGTTCATCAGCATGCAGTGTTTTTTCAAGAGTGCGGCAATATAGAGAAAGTAAACATGCCGTGAATCATGCCATAATGTTTGTTCACGAAAGCTGTCTGCAGTAGTATCTTCCTATTGGTATAACCGAATATTTTTAATGAACAAACATGAACTTTATTTCAAAAGTTTACTATCAGTATTCGGTGAATCGATACTTTGACAAGTAACAGTTATCGAATGCCAATTCACTATTTCACAGACTGAAAGCAAGTATACTGGTAATGAGTGTATTACTAAAACGATGGCAGCATGTTCTTAATACCTTTTAGCTCATTGTATGTTGAAGATTATTTGTGTTACATCAATGATAAATTTGATTTTGTTCCATATTAAGTTCTCTGAAAAACCAAAACTAATAACAAGAATTCGAGTAGAATAATTTGAGATTAAATTATTCAGTGCGATTAAACTATTCCGATCACAAAATTAGATCACATATTATATATCATCATTCATGACGCCATCATAAAGATCATACATCGAGATCTGTATCACTAACACCAATAGAATTTTAAAAAAAACTGTCTTACAACAAAATCACGTGACTTTTTCGTAGAGTTCAATATTTTCAATCGATTGAAGATAATCTAACATACGTGAAATCTAACGAAATCTGCAAATCTGAAGGTGAAAAGAAAACAAAATTTTCAACATATTTTCAGTGTAACTCCTGCAGCATTAAATTATAAACAATGATGGATTTTCTTTAGCCATAAAAGAGAATCAACGTCACGTTGGTAACATATCTTAAACAGAGTAACAATAACATCATGTTGAGATATTTGCCATGATTTGTAAGAATATTGCCAAGAGACCAGGTCACGAGAGAGCAAGCAGAATGTTTTAGACTTTCAGATTTCAAACCTATTATAAACCCAAAACTTCATTTAATATCCTAAAAAACTGAAGCGTGTCAAAAGTCAATATATTTTTAATTTCAAAGAATATAACAATGTGCTCTGTCTAGTATTTTTTCTTCTTTGATGTATCTAAAAGAATCTAAGGCATACCACTCATTAAGAATCGTATTGCATCAGAAAACCGAGAAACTCAATTCGATATTTTCTTATCATTGCTAAAGATAAAAAAACACATCTTCACACGATGTAGAAAATAGTATGAAGAATATTTTTCAAACAGATGTATAGGTGCACATGAATGAAGTACTATGTTGAAGACTCGGAACATTTCAACCTAAAAGATAGTCTCTGTAAAATGGTTTATGACATGTGAATGATTCCTTCGGATTTTTTTTACAGCATTTCTACAATTCAGTCAATTAAAACCTGACTGTCTTCTACATAACGGCTTAGAACTGTTAATGGAAGTCGCCATGGAAAAATCGCGGTGCAAAACAATGCTGCTAAAATCCATATTGAGCATCGATGACGAATCAACCACGGATTTTTTTGACAATCTTGCAATTCCAAAAGGCAGACAAGTACTATACACAAATACTAAAAAATCAACCGAAACAGTAGAACAATTGGCTTTAGAATGCTTTTTTACGATGTCTTTCAATACGAAAGCAGCACAGGTATTGCAAAACAATCAAGCATTTATGGATCATATTCGAAAACTTGCTGAAGATAAGAATAAAACGACAAATCCTGGTCTGAAAAAAGCAGCAGATGGTGTTCTCTGGAAATTAGAAAAGGAAAATGAATTTAAAAAGCAATATCAAGAACAAACAACAAGCGAGAATACACAATTTGATTTCATGATCAGCTATAGTTGGGGTGATAAGCCATTAGTACGTAAAATATTCAAGTATTTAATAGAACAGTGCCATTATCGAGTATGGTTAGATGAAAATGAAATGAGTGGTTCCTTATGTCAAGCAATGGCACAGGCAATTGAAAAATCGAAAATAATTCTCATATGTATGTCTGAAACATATAAACAAAGCGAAACTTGCCGTAATGAAGCCGAATATGCACGTGATCGAAAGAAAACAATTATTCCACTAAAAATGAGAGAAGTTGAATTAGACGATTGGCTTGGATTCATAGTTGCCGGAAAATTGTATATTAATTTTGGAAAACACGATTTTGAAAAGAGTATGAGCTTGTTAATAGCTGAGATTGAACGATATCAGTCTACAAAAGAAACGACTAAACAAACCACAAAAATGAACAGGTATTGTAACTATTTCGCAATAGATTTTTTGACAAAGATACATTTCATTTTGTGATGTATCATGCTAGGACAGAACCTATTGTCAATGATCCCATATTACAAACTGCTTGTATAACTGCATCATCGATCTCAAAGTTACTTAATCGTGCTAATTTTATCTCAACTGAATACAAACAAATTCCAATTGTACTATGGTCTGAACAGCACGTCCGAGATTTTCTCTTCGACAAAAACTTGGATATAATTATTTTATTAACTGAAAATATGAATGGCGAACAGCTTTATGAGTTTTCGGAGCGATGTAGGCTGCAAAAAGAATTTTGGTCCATGTTCGATCGTCTAAATATTGAACTAGAAAAACGATATAAGCAAACACTTCCCATAGCAGTTTATACACGATTCCTGAATGAAACAGCGAAGTATTCAAATGAATCCACATCGTTTTAAACGCAATGCATGGCATGTTATTGCTTTTTTTGTTGGCATTAGTTTTTAACAATAAAAACATTGAAGCTCATCGATAAACTTACTGAAAAAAAAAACAGATCTGTCTTAATTTTCCAGTTGTGAACTATGATGGCAAACTACAAGAACATCCAGAAATCAGAATACATTTTTTTTTCTTCAATATTTTCTCCTTGCATCACCAGTTTATTCTCATTTTTGAAATAACTATATCTAATCATAGTGGCTAACAACAGAATATACTATTATTCTTGGCTTTTAATATATTGATATTTTTCTAAACGAAAATACGGTTTTGTCTTATTGGGTGTGGATGGATGTGCCTACACGTGTGTGTGTAGAGGAGGTGTGAGTGTGGGGTGGGGTGTGGATGAAGAGGAGATCGAAACTTACACTGACACTATCTATAAAGGGATACAAGGTATATAATTAGTTACTAAATATTATAATTGGTATTTCTGAAATCAATGCTGATCGTACTTTCTGTATATGAATAAGTATGAGCCAACATTGTATTACTTCTTATTCGGTCAGTACTTTCATTTCTAGTCGGAACTCGTTCCAACTTGAAATTCTTTCGAACGATACTTTTTCGCCTTCTATGCCCAAGAATTTCTAATCTACGAATAATAAAGTCGTTCACGATAAAACTCGTATCGAGATCTTTCAATGTTATTCTCTTTTATCAATGGCTTAGAGTACTGAAATCATTCTCATATTAAATGGCACAGGTGCAAAAAAATTATTGGTTGTCACTATATCTATTCTCTTCTTCTCGTTTGAGTATTGATTCCAACGTCTAAGAGTTCTTTTATTTGTTTTTCATTTTACACAATTCAGTTGCGTCTTCATTCTTCGAACAAGTAGAATAATCGGATTAAACATCAATTGTTCAGTTTTCCCAAGCTCACTCTGCAAACGTCAGTCAGATTCTATCAAATTTTTAAGTTCCAATTTTAATCTCGATCTCACATTTTACAAGGTGAACGTAAAGTTCGTTTTTTTAACGCTTCTCTGTAAATGGAGTTTGGTGCACTTTTGTAATGCAGGTCTTCTGATGTGAAACTGACTTTCACATTGACGAAGTCATTTTCATCAATTTAACTTGTCTTTTACAATAAATAGAATATTTTTGAAGCACACAATCAGTAAAAAGTTTTCATCGCTTTTGTGGAACATCCTAACTGGAAAAATGAACTGTCGACAAGTGCCAAAGTAAAAATTAGATACTCAAGAAGATAACATTTCTCATTCGGAGATCGATGTCATAGTCAAATTGTGTAATGTCAATAGAAGAAAAACTGCCATCTATCTCAAATATTAATCCATAGTTAATGTTACACATTTATCAGATTTCAATTCAAACAGATATTTAGTCAAGGCAAGAGCTTAACAATGTATTGTTAGCTACGAACTGTATGTGTATAAAAGTAGAGAATCATGCGATAAATCATCACACGATACACATTTACATGACTTCACAACAGAAGAGAGAAGAAAAACGAAAAGCAGAAAGTGTGTCTGTTAACCTGAGAAGGAACGAGACAGAAACAGGACAGAAAAAAAAACAGAGCGGTGAGAGAAAAAAACAGGAGAGGGCGACGTTAGGGGCTCATCCAGTAAGTTGGTGGACTAGAGTATTCGACCATCCACAAATAACAACGCATTTTTCAATTGAACTAACTGTACTACGGTGACAGGAGTTGCAAATGTGTCGACTTTGATAAACGCTATTATTATTACTCCTGTTAATAAAGAATTAGATCTATAATATGTTCTGGGCAACTTGTGAAATTTTGGCTAGAAACTCAATCGATAGAACTTTAATTTCTCTTTCATCCTGGAACAATTGAATCGCACAAATGATTTTTCTTGAGCAAGAATATTAATAATGAGTTCCAGTAGATTTTTTTCGAACTTAGGTAAAACAACAATCGTTTTAAAGATGGATTTTGTTGAGCTGATAGTAGCTCGATTTTTCTGAGCTAAAAATTTTCTTTTCTCAATATTTTTGAAATTTCATTAATACGAAATAAACTGTCCTCAGTTGTAGAACTTGAGTAATGATATGAAAATTCAAAATTCAAGCAAAAAATATTTTGTTTTTTATGGTGTTGAATTTAACTCATGAAGTCCTCTAAGGAAATATTAGTTTAAAATGATTGACCATTCACACTTTGAGGCTTCACAAATTGCAAAAGTTTCGATATGAGAAAAGATTGGTGCAGATGACTTTTAGATACACGAAAACCATTCCTAAATGCAATTAATTGAGAAACTGAAAATATAGTCAAAATATACTTTGAGTTTACAATGAACATTTGAGGTAAACATATCGAAAACATTGCAACCCGAATTTTAAGCGTTTCGTGCTCGACTGATGAGTAAGTATGCTCACTAGACTTTGAATCCTAATAACTTTAATCAAGAGTGTCCCAATAAAAAGTTCATACTTTAAAAATATGCCATGATTGAACCAGGTAGTTACTAAAACTTGAAAAATAGCACAGCCACACAACACATGTATGTCAGGCCACTAGTATTAAACACTCATCGAACCCAAAAAGTAAAATTGAGATATTACACCTCCGTCTTATAGTTTTTTTTTTTAAATCTGTCTAGTTGAATTCATGTATCAATCAGATGCAGCTATTACTGATTTCGAGACCAAAACCAAGCAATTGTCAGAAGAAAAGAAAAAAATGAAAAATTCTCTGTCATTAATGCCAGCCTGTAGACAAAAGATTGAAATCGTCAATGAGCTTTTTTCTTTCTAATGGTTTCTGCTTTATGTGTTTTTTTGTCATATTTTAAGAAGGAATTCATATCATGATCGGAGAGAATAAATGCTTGACTGAAAGGTAAGAAAGAAGAGAATTTACGAACGCAAATAAATCGAGTGATGCTCATTCATTATTGTGCATTTGTAGAAGAAACGTTAAAATCAAAATTACAGCTTTTTTACGTTTAATCTATGTATCGATGTCATTTCACTCTTGCTGTCAATCTCAAATAAATCGGCAAAGTAAGTCTTTCAATCTGTACTTGTTGTTGAAAAAAAATATGGGAAAATTTCATGGATGTTGTACTGTGTATATAGGAAATCTGTGTTGTTTATTTGTTGTTTAAGTAAAAATATCTGCATTGTAGAACTATTATCAAAGTCATGAAATAGTTGTCTTTTCTTGCATTCTGATGGATCAGTATTAAAATAGTCCTATCATACATGAACTAATTCTCTTCGATGGTTCTCTATCTTTCAGAGGTATAGTACAATTTACTGGCTTCCAAAATATAGTGTACTTTCTAGTAGTGTTACTTGTAAGTAAAAAACTAACATGTTGAAATATTTTTCCTGCTTGTTTTCTTTTTTGGCAATTCAAGCCTAACACTACGTTTCGTGAAAATTTTTTGCTGAGATACTCCACAAGAGAAGATACTTTGTAGAACTTTGAGCTGTCATAAACTGAATAAAAGCCACTTTCAAGGTAGTATATCATTTGGGACATATTTCACTGTTGTCGGTGATAATCCTTAAGGTTAAGCTTGTTTTCTAATCATACAAAACGATATAGAAGAGAAAAAGCAGAACCAAATTTTATATCAAGTGGCTTTTTCTTCCTCGAAGATGTTCATTATGTGAAACCGAAAAAGAACCGTTACACGTAGTGTAAAAACGAGCTTTCTAAGTTTTATTGTTTTTCCTTTTGGAACTTAAGCAGGCCTGTCAAGACTTTTTCATTTCATAAAAAATAAAAGCTAAGCTTGTTTTTTGATATCAAATGTTTTACAAAGCTTGTATATACTATCAGCCGAAGAAAACTCAATTTTAAGATAGAATGAATAGCTGTTTCCAGAAATTTTTGATTACTAAAAATGAAACTTTATTAAAATTCAAAATGAGCTATACAAGTATGATATTAAAAAACGATTTATAGATTGTTGTTTTTCAGAGATAAAAAGATATTTTATTGAGTAAATAAAACCATTATCTAGACATCTTTTGCTTTTCGAAAGGCATACCTTTAGAAGAAGAGCCCATGGACAGAACAGTATTTTAAGGTGATAGTAGAGAAGAGTGAGACTAATATATGTATAACAAATCTTCGATAAAATGGAGTGAAATAAATGCTTACTGTTTTATAAATATGTCCTCTATAGCAACGATACAATGGTCATTCAGTTCACTCATATGAAACCATTTATTGTTAGAAAATAAATTAAGCGAGGTGAGCAGTGTTTAATGATAATATTTACTATAACTTGCACTTTATATCATAATGTATCCAGTCAATTTTAGATATGCATGTCAGTTCAATGAAAACTCTATTACGTATTGGTTCCCGACTTCAAATAAAGCCAAATGTTTATGCATGTTGCATACTTCTAATCGCTTTCAGTTTTCCAGCATGATATTATTTATTTGTCGAAATAGTGCCGGAACATGTTACACTGTCTTTTACTTCAGAATTATCTTCGTTTGATAACTTATTAGATAAATGCATGTTAGATGATACACCCTGTCATTCTGACGTTGAACAATCCATTGATCGGTATTTCGAAAATTTCAAGAAAAGATTTTCAATGTTGTTAACGTACAAGGGGGAAACAGCAGACTCCACTCGACTCCAAATACTTCTGGAGTACTCACTATTTAGTTGAGTACTAAGTTGAGTACTCATCTAATTAGCACTAATTAGGTGAGTACTCACCGTAATTAGTGCTAATTAGATGAGTACGCAACTTAGTTGGGATTAATTGAGTTGAATGCTCACCTAATTACAAGGTGGAAACGGCAAACTTCATGACTCCACTTGACTCTGCGTGACTCCAAAGGACAGGAGTCAGCTGTTTTTCCCTTGGTATTCCACAAGCAGTTGATTTTATTACACACATAAACTCTGCGGCATGGTCCAAAATATCTTACGAGCATTTCATCTCATCGGAAAACATTGATTTTCTCAAAAATGACTATCCAATAAGACAAGATTCTGTTCAAGATAGACAACATGGTTTTCTAGCCTCAATAATCGTGATCTCAAGATTCTTGAATCTATCATTTAACTATAAAGTTTTCTATATGATTACAAATAAAATGAATGCTGTTAGAATAAATACACTGTTCAAACTACAGCTAATCTAGAAAAAATCACTAGTATAATCTTCTATGACTATACTATATAAATAACATCATGTTCATCGATACTCGTATGAGAGATCTCGATCTTTATTAAATGATCAACATAAACCTTCAGTTGTATTCTATTGATATAGAAGAGAATAGAAATGCGTATAATGTCGGCATACTATGTTGAAGGACAATCATCATTTATATTGATGGTATTCAAAGTATATATACGATGCGCATATAGTGAATATTCTCAGTATTGATGAATTATGAACTTATGAATATTTGTTATCGAATCAGTCAGAAAGAAACTACATGAAAGTTGTCTATATTATCAAACTGTCTAAGATGATACGGTCGTTGAAAGACTGCAAAATCTGGTAATCAGTGAACCGTAATTGTTTATCAATATTGAGGCCATACGAGTCCTCCGTTGGATATCCACGTTGGATGTCGTGATCGACGAATATGTAAACGACGGTCAGCGTTCCTAGTTTCATTAATGCGACGAGGAACTACTTGATCGGACATCCCATCATAAATACTAATAGTACCAAGTAAATATTTTTGTTGCAACTTTTTTGATGCACGATAGAACATGTCATTGTGAATCTTAACTGCTAAACTATTTTTCTGTCCTAAATAGTATAGCCAATCACTAATACAAGTGATAAAATCACTCGCATAGAGTTGTTCTAACCAGTCTGGTAAGATATTTGCTCTGCCATAGTAAGCACCTGCTAATTGGCCATAAATAGCAGCTGTAGTATCAGTATCATCTCCAAGATTGACTGCAGCAAGAACACCATTTTGAAACGAGTTTTGATCACTCCAAAAAGCCCATAAAGCTGCTTCGAGTGCATCGATAACGTAACCGCGACTTCGAATACCCATTTCATAACCTCCTGGCTTTTTATATGATCCAAACGCTACACGACGCACGTCTTTACAGAGACCTCTTGGGCCGAACCACGCTCTATGACTACTATAAAATTTGTTATTAAGTAATTGTTCTTTTCTTTCACCACGAAGGGCTGCTACGATCAGAGCTCCGTAATACCGGCAAGCATCAATTGCTTTCTGACTTCCATGAGTTAGACAAGCACTTTGACCAGAGAGTTCGACGGCCAGTTCAGGATTCCGAAAGAAGTAGAGTGGTACTGGTGCTAGACGCATCAGAGCCCCATTTCCGGCAACATTTGGTTGACTACAATTTACATCGAACTTGGGTATATGTTTGACTTGTTGAAATGATAAACGATCAACTTCAATTTCGGTTCGTAAGTGGAAAGTTGTCTTTAGTATTTGCTGACGTCGAGAGAATTTTTCAAGAGCCTGGCGAGTAGATTTTCCAATATCAAAACAATATCCTGTCGATGCAAGAAATCCATGTTTGTACCACCATTTGTAGCGAACCATTTGGTTATATGGGTCGAAAGTTCGTTTGGTAATGAGTGACGAGGCGAGACACAAAGCCATCGAGGTATCGTCCGTCCATTGGCCTGCCCGCAGACTCCAAGTACCTCCAGACTGCATATTGTAGACGGGATGTGCAAGAAGATATTCATGAGATCTAAATTCCACGCTGGCTCCAAGTGCATCTCCTATGGCAAGACCCAGCATTGATCCTCTTATTTGATCATTTAATTCTATATTGTCTGGTGATTGTGGAGGCCATATGCATGGAATATCTTCTGGAAGGATGTGCTCGTAAGGAGACGGAAACTTCATTTTTCAAAAAAAAACTGTGATTGTACTCTAGATGAGAAAAGACACGATGTGATACAGAGAAAAACGATAGTCGAATACTTTTTGACTAGAAATCATTTCAGCAAAGGTATCTAATTTTTATTTTAATCTAATAAATATTTGGTATGTACCTCCTACGATACATCAGTGTATTGAATTTATCATCACTAAGTTGTACGAAAGCAAGCTTTTCATCATATTTGTGAAACATGATTGTTCAGGAATGTTGACATATATAGTGCAAAAGTTTATTCTTCTACTATTACATCTGATCGTCCAATGTATTCTCTTTCTTCTTCATCTCTCTTGCATCTTGTATATATATTTGAGTACGCGTATAACACGAGAGCTTTTTTTCTAATATTCTTCTCCAAAAACAATCAAAATTAATTTCAAAGGAAGTAGTTACTAAAGTGTTAATGCTAGTTTTTAAGGAGATACAGACAACTTTCCATCAACAAAATTCGAATCACAGAAGATCTTTCGACTTTGATCATTGTTAGCAAGATACAGATGGTACCATTTATTCATTTAATTATGACATAAAGGAAGATAGCCTAACGAATAAAAAATATTAATATTATACCAGATAATCTAAGCTACCAACACTTCAAAACATTTTTGTAATTAAATTTATAAGAAATGGCATTGAAACTGATGAAACTTATAGTGAAGTTAACAAGTATATAAATCAATGTTGACAATTCAAAATATGATGGGTATAATGAGGTGTAACGGCAGAAATAGTCGAGTCTATTTTATTTTCAAAAGAAAGATTATAATGTCATTTGTTGTTTTAGAAATGTCAACAATACAGTAATGACAGACTGGATGATAAGGACAATAAATTAAATGCTTATTGTATGTCAACATTGTGAAAATAATGGACACTATTCGAATGATGATCGATGCCTATCTTTTCCTCATTTTCGTTGTCAAATTTTATCAGAATTTCGTGAAAAATCTAATTTCTTACCAACTGAAATTCAATTATTTATTAATACAATCTTCACAAGAATGAAGATAAATACTAGACACATCCATCGCATTCGGCTATTTGGTTGAAAGAGAAACATACAGCGATGCATGTCACCGTCTTGACAGAGCATGTAAAAAAAAATAACTCTTTTCCAATACACTATCATACTCATGGAACGTCATGTTCGATGCTAGTTTAGGTAAAAACAAGGAATATTAACTTTAACTATAACTTACTTATATTGAATAGCAAATGCCTGTGTGACACAATCTGACGTCGCAATACAAATAGTCACGAATAAGGAAGTAAACAAATTTTCGTATTGTATATATATGCATATGAGGTGATGAAGGCCATCCTCTCTGCATCATGAAAAAGTAATTTTCTTCTGTTTCATATGTGCATACATACGTGTATATATGTGTAATCGAGCATGCAGTGATGCATATAGACTGTTTGTCTAAAAACAATATTTTATGAGTTGAAATATCAATAAATTTGTCTCACTTACGAAAATCGAGGTTCTCAAAAGGATTGATTAGTCCATTTAAGAAAATAATAATGAAGAACTTTCCACGAGCAAATCAATTCATCGTCAAGCATGTTCAATTTCATTTTTAACTCTCGTCATCTTAAAAGACAGCTCTCCCAGTACTACATTCGTATCCTAAACATGACGGTCTCAAAGGCACCTCCCTCCTTTTTCCGATTTTCTCAAGAACGACTCAACCAAAACTTATGAAATTTTCCAGGTAAATAGAGCGTAACTAGTGTAGTAAAAGTTCTGATAGACTCACAATTCCTAGATGCTTTCTTTTATGAGATATAGAGGAAGGAGTGCCAAAAAATGGCTTGAAGTTTTCTCCCCTCACAGACAGCCGAAAATTCATTATTTATGGCTGAGTTCTTTTTGTAGCAATTAGGACCGAATTGGGATGTATATTTTTTTCTTTGAAAAATATTGTTTCCTTCGCTTGTGAGAATCAACATACTAGAAGCCCTATCAAAGAACATGGTTTTTTTCCCCTAGGACAAATTCTGTAAGATCTACCAAAAATCACCAGAGCATTATTTCACGGAAAGAAAAATTATATACACCCTGATTTTGTTTTTGTTGTCACACAAAACATTTCAGCCCAATTGGTCGGAGTGTCTAGAAGAAAAAGGAGGAAAACTTCAATTTTTCTATAAAAAAGTTAATACTGAAAAAACGTGAAATAATGTAAAGCGACATTTTTTCGTTATTTTAGTTTTTTAATTGTTTATGCATAGCTATCAATTAATCCAGTTGCCAAGCAGCTAGGTGATTACGTCACTGACTCTGATAACATATTTTAGTCATAAAATAACTTTACTAGTATAGATCATTTTTACAACACAACAGAACTGCAGCACGTGATTTTTTTGCATTGAGGATATCGAAAGTCAGATTTTTTAAGGATCTAAATAAACATAAAACTTTTCATTCATATACCATTCGATAGAAGACTCTTGAATATATTTTTAGATACAAAAGAATCAAATCTAAAAAAAAGATGAATTTTTTGGGATCAGGAAAGAGGAAGCATTCCCTTAAAGCTTATTACTGACTGGTCAGACTTAGAGTGTGAATGTGGATGTAGATTAAGTGGATAGACACTCACATTCATACTTTGAAGGCCTTGTTTTTTCGGAATCAAGGTTTTAACGCTTCCTTGGTCTCATATTAAGCTGTAATTTTTCTGTCATCAGATAAGTTTGAAGAGACTTTGTTACTCTGTTGGTTGGAAATCCCCAAAATTTTTAGATAGCCTCTAACAGCCTCACAACTTAAAATCTTTCAGAAAAACTCTTGAAAGATCTCTGATGATAGAACGCCAGAACTCATATTTTTTCATGCATATACTTGCCTCATATTTGTCTTTTGAAAGTAAAAAATCACAGATCTCGAGCTTTATCCTCTTCGGAGTGAGCCCATCGTTAATTATGCTGTCTTTTTTTTATGCAATGGACATGAATAGTTCGAATGCTTTCTGAAATAACATTTAACAATATGCATTCTATTCCCTACTAGTCTACAGGTCTTAATACTTTTCCATAAGCAGTATGTATGAGACTTGCTCAAAAAAGGTGACAATAGTGGTATGAATCATTTCAAAAGTGCCACAAAACCTCGTAGACAACAAATAACCATCATTACCAATCGCCTTTCATACTCGAAAAAATGTCCTTGCAGCTAAACATGTGCAATGCTCAGTGATAATGCTAATCATATAGTCTAATTTATTATAATGAATTGAGTTTTATTTTACTCTTCATTCAGAACAAAATCAAAAAGTTCACATAATAATTCTTCCGAAGTGGCGTGTAAGTATGAATCTGATGGAAAATAACGAGAAGATTCACACCCACATTCATCCCCGATTCAGTCGAAACTTGCAAAGTGCATCGTTTTTTATTTCAACGATTTTTCTCGCAATACAAACATCATAATATCATAAGTGTGAGGATTGAGAGTTAGTGTTCAAGTACGTTTAAGCTCCTATAACATAAATATAATATTAAATAAGGTTCGTCTCCTTTTCTCGTTGTATTCGATTGAAAAAGTACGAATTGCTGATTAAACCTTATTTTCAGATGAGTAGAATAAGTGAAACAGCCAAAGCAAGGGAGACCAAAATGTGCAGCAGAAACAGAATTAATATTCGATTATTCCAAGGTTTTGAATCATCAACATAGCTATTTCTCATGTAAACACGTGGTGGTAATCTGAAATCAGTCAATCTAATTCCATAATTCTTCTTGTCTCTCGTCGCAAAAGTATTTTGGAAACGAAATTGAATTATCTCAAAAATAATAACAATTAGAATGACCCATCCAGACCAAATGGAAAGAATGACAAATCATAGCAGTACTATTCGAATTCATATGAACTACTATGATAAAGATGATTGGTATCGAAAGAAAAAAGCTAACGCTCCCGTAAGCCGATGAAGTCAATTGAAAATGAAACAGTACGAATTTTCTACATGACAACGAAAGATTGTCATGCATGCTTGCAAAAGAGCACAGCAGACAATAATACCACCGAGAACGGAATGAACAAAAGTAAGGCCTTCATCGGATCTAACCCATCCTCCTTCTGCTTGCATCAAAATAAAGAAAAAGCCGAGGAGAGTCGGAACAGTAGTTAGCCAAGCGATCAAACGATGAATTTAGAGCCATATTGTTTCACCACATAACGTATCTTTCGAGTCAAAGTGTATGAAGCGTCCATAACGTGCAAATATAGTAGCAGTTGAGGCAAAGTCCATCACAGTGCCATGAGCATTTTGAAAGGTGTCATCTTCTGATTCAGTTTGTGTTTCTCCTTCGTTTTCTATCAATGTTGACATCTTCAATAGAAATAATATTCTTCGTCCGGTTGAGTATTTACTGCAATAAAGTGATAGATATACAATCGACCATTGTTTATATTCACCTGTATAAGCACGCACGAAAAGTAACGGGAATATACTTTTTCCTTTCATTTGATGCGTAAAGATATAACATTTTCTTTTGTTACATAAATGGAGTCAGGACTTCGTCGACAGAAAATGTTAACAAGGACGTGAAAAAATTAAATTTCTGCTTGAATGCATATTAATTGCACGCCAAGATAGAGTGTATGCTCATAATTAGTATAAGGTTTATTAGTTTTCTGAAGATAAGT